TGAATGAAGTATCTTTTGCTTTCAGGAGTCTCTTAACGGGCTTGACTACATAATGTATCTGTTAGGATGTCGAGTTGTTCGAGGACCAGACTGGACGTGGGGCGACCAAGATGGAGGAGAAGGAGGTGTTGGAACAATCTTTAGCACCGATACCTTCTCCGATGGTAGCCCACTGAAAAACCAAACAGTTGTTGTTTGCTGGGACACAGGACAAGAAGCCTATTATCGACTTGGACTGGATGAAAAGTATGATCTGCGGATCCTTGATTCAGCTCCTTCGGGTAAGTGACTCAATTGACAACATTAAGGAAGAAACAACTTGGTCAAATATTGCATTATTTATATTATTAATACTAGATAATGGATGGCTGTTGACTCGATAGGTCATACTTTTTCAACAGCCATACACACTAAACTTGATCTCCGCTTTGTAAATATTTATTCTGTATTTTTCATAACTGTTCACTCTATATACATGTAATATTTCCTATATTTTGTATTGTAATTTTGTGTGTGAAATAAACTTGACTTGACTTGACTTGTTGTTATGACGACACTGAACTAAGTGATTTTAGAACCAAGATTTCTCTAAAATTTGGATCATTGAGATGATGTACTTTTCTATTTTTTTTTAAATGAACATTCAATATCATTATAAAATTCATGTTTTTTTCCTTGTATGACCTCAGCTCATTTCTAGCCAAGAGTAAATAAAAGTGTTTTTAGTGTTTTTATTTCCGAGCCAAAAAGCTTCCTACTTCTGAAGCCAGAACTGCTGAAAAAAATAGATAAAATGTCGGTTCAATAAACTTTAAATTAACCCAGTAACTAAGTAAGGGACATCTGATTAGATGCTGTGAGGAGGGGTTACGTGAATCCCTAAAAAATATCGAGCAAGCCTTTGCCTACGAAAAAATATCTCGCAGTCTCTCCTTTCAGTAAAGAAACAATCGAGCAAACACAAAAATACATACAGTGGTTGTTGCAACATAAATTCATGCAACACCCCCCCCCCCCCCCCCCCCCCAATGAAATCAAACAAACCTCTTAACTGTGCTGATGGATAGTTTTTCTCTGTGCTTTGAACACTTCCTCTCTCCCTCCCTCTCTCCCTCCCTCTCTTCCTCCCTCCCTTCCTTCCTGTCTTCCTTTTAATCATTCTTCCTTCCTTAATTTCTTTTTTTACTTCCTCTATTATTTCCTCTTTTCTTCCATACCTCCTCCTTCCCAACCTCCCTCCTTCCCTCCCTCCCTCCTTATACCCTAAATCCTCTATTTAGCCCCCCCTCTCTGATAAGCCCCCCCTTTTTAAAGGAAGAAATTTGTTAAGCCCCCCCTCTCTTTTTAGCCCTCCCCCTTTCACAACTAAAGAATCACGTGTACTGATTAAAGGTGATTTATTAAAGTCTTGGTTGTTCAGAACATTTCTTTTTAGCATGCTTTGTTAATATTACCATGTTTTAGTTTTGCTATTCACAATAATCATGAATTATACTTGAGAGACTAACACAGGTGAATCAAATAATAAAAATGCCATGTACATCACTACAGATTATGCGAGACGGTCAATAGTAATGCTTCTGTTTAATCCCGAGTTATAATCATATTACATACTGTGTTTCAACTAAATCAATAAGCCCCCCCTCTCCAATAAGCCCTCCCTCAAATGTGCCTGAAATAAATAAGCCCCCCGGGGGGCTAAATAGAGGATTTACGGTAACTTTGTATATGAGAATAAATATAAACTATATTATGGCTTTATATGAATACAGTATTACTTCGGTTTGCGATATAAATTCAGGGAACTCGGTAGTTACAAGCTACATTGGTGTTGAATCTTTTTTTTGTTTTCCGACGCCGTCAAACGAAAATAATCAGTCCGTACCTTTTATGTCCTGGACGTTCTGCAAAAAATAATTTCACAACAAGCTGTTGAAAAGTCTGAGTTCGCATAATATCGAAAGCTGCAGTAAAACAGTCCTTTTTCTTGACGCATGTCACCATACTGTTTTTGTTGGTATGTTTTTCATTTATTCAGAATTTTTCATTTATTGTCTTTAAAACTATAGAGGTTTTGCATCATAACGTGATGATAGCCATATTAGATGACAGGAACAATGCAATTGTTTTGCATGAGAAAGAATTCAATTCCTGAGAGCAAATGGATTTTATTGTTCTGCCAGCTAACCATAGGCAGCCCAAACTGTATGATGCACGTGGACAAGTGATGGTGCAAAATCTCTGAATTTCAAAACGTTAACATCCATACATTACACTTGACCGTTACAGGTGTTTGTTTTGAGAAGGTGA